TACCTGCATGCAGAAGCCCTTAGATAACACAATACAATGAATATATTAAGTCTGTTTTTAAATATTTTAACCACTTCTTATCTACCTTTTCTCATAGTTACAATAGTCTGGATAAATCCAGTCTATTACTGATGGATCTGAGGTCTGTCACTGCTGATTCATAAAGTCAGAACTCCAGTAACCTGTCATGATGCGGAGTGACTTCGTGTCCTTTTCTCTTGGTTTTCCTCACTTTCAGTTTCTTTTCCATTGTATTGTTTTATTCTCAGTTCCTAGGATGCTAACCATGGCTTTTCTATGTTTTTAAAATAGCTGCACATTTTCCATAAAAATGGCCCACCAGATTAATTAATTTGGATGAGCATTTTGAAGCTAATTAGTTGTATTTGTTTTTGATAAATACATGTTTTTGATCATGTACATGATCAAATGTTTAAAATGTTTAAAATGTGAGTGAAAAAACTGTTCGTTTTCATTTACAGAGAACATTTTATGGAAATAAACTACATCTAGTTTGCTAAATATGTTGTTTGAGTGGTCAATAGCCTTACTAAGCTTTGGGCAGCATTTGGTTTATAGTCTGTGCCTGGTAAGTAGACTTGTTTGTCTGGAAGTCTTTACCTATGAAGTCTGAGATGGCTAATCCTGTCAATATGGCTGGGCTTTGAATCATTACTAGAACACATTTCTGAGTTTTTCTGTGAGGTATTTCTATATAAGTTTATCTGGAAGGTAAGATGCCTTCCTTGAATAGTGTGGCATCTCCTATAGGCTGGAGTTCACAGCTAAATAAAAAGGAGTGAACGGGTAACCAGTATCTATGCCCCCAATTGTGGATACAATGCAACCAGCTGCCTTCCCACCATGATGAACTGGATCCTCAGGCTGTGAGCTCAAATAAATCCCATCTTCCTTAACTTGCTTTGTCCAGGTATTTTGTCTCTGAAAAAGTAACCAGATCCTACTTGCCAAAGTAATAGACAGCAGTAAAGCAGCTAAGGCATCTTTCTGTGACTTTTCTTGAAGGTTCATATGGTACAATACATGAACAATCCACATGGTATAATGCACACACAATCCACATGGCACAATGCACACACAATTCATATGGTGCAATGCACACACAATCCATCTAGCCTGTTTGCTTTCTTTTCTCCTCATGTCCCTTCCTGACCAGTCCTGGGCTCCCATCAGTGAAACCCAATTGTAGATTGACACAAGCAGTAGAAGACACTGGCCACTTATACAGAAGTTTGGGAACTCTGCTGTCTCAGGCCTGTAACTGATGGTCATGCAGTTTTCAGCTTGTCAACATTTCATCCCAGATTCTCTATAATTTCAAAAGAAACTCCTTCCCTATAATATTGGTAATTTTGTTTTGCTACTTAAGTCCTATATGATAGTATGCTTAATGCATAAAATACTTACAATCACTTGAGTTTCTGATTACTCTGCACTTAAAAAACTTATATAGGTTGAATGAAATGAACAGTGTCTTTAATAAGTGTAGACTAAACGTGTAAGTTTGTCAACTGTGAGTCTCCAGATGAACCCAAAGGACAGGGTTAGAGCAGCAATGGAAGCGTGGCTGCCCTGATGCTACATGACTTTACCTAACTCATGGTGGGCCAGGCTGCCTGGTCAGGAGTCTTTGTCAAAGTGCTTCAGCTGCAGATTTGCCATTTACAGTGTTCTTAACCATCCCCAAGCAACACCTTCCAAAGTCACGGCGAGGGTGGGAGGAGGTAAGCAATACAAGAAAAGTTTCCACTGTATACAACTTCTCTAGATCTGCAGCTGCTCTTGTATGGCTCTGCACTTTGCAGGTGGACAGTGACATTCTGGGCTAACCCTGAGAGTGGAGTGTGCTCAGAAGTCTCTGCGGAGGGAGGGAGGGAGGGGAGAGAGAGGGAAGGAGGGAAGGAGGGAAGGAAGGAAAAGCAAGCTTGTATACTCTGAGTTAACCTCAGGCACAACATCTTGTATCAGGAGAGTTGCATCCTGTATCCAATGATGTTTTTTAGAGGAATGGGCAGTTATATCTCACACAGACTACACCACACTATATATTACATTTTAAACATCGCCATTAATTTTACATAATGCTGAAATAACTGACATACTTTAATTACTACACAGAAAAGTAGATTAAAATTGCAAGAACAGTATCACGATAGTTCTATTGATTCCTTGTGGCAGAGTCCAAAGCCTGACAATGCAATGTTTTCCTTCATGGCATCATTCAATTACATAATAACTATGAGAGGTTTGTCCAAAGCAATAGGTTATTTTTTTGAATGACCAGTATCATTGTTCCTGGAGAGCAGGGCCAATGATTGTCCATGGTACCTGACTCTACAAACACACTTTGCAAGCAAAGGCTTTCTTTTGACACACGATAAATGTCAACCTGTAATTTCTCCAGATATATTCTCTTACCCTTAGTAACTGACACTTAGAAGAGTTCTGCATCTTTCTACCCACAGCCATATCCCCAAAGAATCCAAAGGAAACAGCTCTCTCTTTCCTCTTAACAATGGGAGAAATCCAGTAGTTTAGAAACACTACAAAATTAAGACATCTTTCATTTGTTGTCAGTTCTTTGAAGTATTTTGCTTTCTGTGTGAAAAGAAGCAATGAAGATAATGATTACAAAAGACCTTTGAAATGAGTTGTTTGGTTTGGGACTTTGGCACCTAAAGATCCTATTTTCACATAAGATTCCAAATGTTCCCTGGGATATCAGTGAAAAAATAGTAAACTATTTGTTTGACTAAAGGATAAAAACATCACAGCCACACTCCTAAATATGAACATTCGTCCTGTAGTCAGTTGCTTTTAGCTCAGTGTTCTGACAGCAACTAGTGCACTGGTGAAATGAGGCAAGTCAGCCTGAACAAACTCCACCTGATTTTGGCTAACAGGCCTTCCAGAAAGTGACTCTGGGTAAAACATGAAACAAGAAGAAAGTGCTCAATAAAAAATGATAAGGCAAATATGCAGTGAAAACACAGGTAAATACTAAGAAGCACTTGCCGTAGAAGAAATTCCAGTTTTGTTAATTTCTGCAATTACTTTAGACACTCAGGGCTTGTGTTGATTTTGAACTTGCAGTATAGTGGCAGCTTTTCAAGTCAGCTCTATCCTTGACTGGCAGTCTAGCTCTGCAATACTCTAAAGTCACAAGATTAAAGTGTTTCCAAAAAACTATAATTCCCTTGCCCCCCCTTTTTTTTAAATTAGCACCCATGAAGAAGGCGATGTGAGCTACGTGTGAAGAGCACTGTGGTGACAACATAATTTGACAGTCTACAAGAACCACATCTGTGGCTTGATCATGCCCTAAAGGACAGGTTTTCTTAAGCTGACCATCTCCACATATGAAATTATCTTTCAATTATGAAATCATTCAAGTAACTCAAACATGTAATATACCTACTATATAACAAATCAATATTGCCAATAATGTGATGTGCTAACTCTTCTGCCATCTTTACAAAAAATACATAATCCCTAATTTTAGATACTTAGTATCTATCAGTAGTTAGTTAATACTGTATTATCAGCTATGCTGTAGGACTCTGTTATTGTTAAGGGAACACTACTTTTAAAAATCTTGTGATCTAGTTTCTTTATATGTATGTGATTAAAAAATATTCCTTTGTAGCCAAATTCTAATTTAAATCTAAAGATTTGAGTACTCTACAGCTAGACCATATCTCCCACGCTAGTGGTAAGTACATATGGGTACATATGAGATATTGCATTAACTGAACCAATGACAAGAATTGCTGTATACCCACATAGGATAAATGTGGATGGGATACTTCAATAAATATGCTTTTTTTCTTCCACCAAATTATCACCTTCTCACTTGGTTGATTATCTTTGGTGATAAACTCTGTGCTCACAACACTGACAGTTTCTCTAAATACTCTGATGTCTGAAATACTCTATCATATCAAATTAACAGTCACCTAGATAATTTCTCATGTGTCAAAGGCATAGAAAGAAGGCACTGGACATTGTAAGGGTGAAATAGCCCATGAAAAGACTATAAACTTTGGTGTTTCTTAGAGCAAATAGATCACATTTTGTAAGCAGTTTGTGCCCAACTTATACAAATTGCTAGAGCTCGAAAAGGCTTCATGATGCAAAAATCAGCATTTCAGAGAAATTTAAAAGTTCACTTTATAATTGAATAAGTTAATGTCTATGCACTGTCTTGCATTCTTTAGTTTCTAAGCAGACACATTGGCTCTGCACAGTACCTTCACTTGGAAACTTGTAGTCACCTGACACCATGGTGGTGAAGTTAGTCAACAAAATGAAAACACTACGTTTAAAAGCCTCTGAGGGTCTTTCATGAAACTTCTTTCAGTATCATGGAAAATTTGATCCTACCTTTACCAGGAAAGGCAATCTGGGATTCTGTCAGAAGCTAAGTTTCATCTACATTGTCAAGAGCACACTCCTGCTATGATTTTTAAGCAGCATTTGTCAATAGGCGAGATTTCTCAAGACATCTGATTTTGTCTTTTCATTTGTAAATCTTACAATGGCAGATGTTCTATGAAATGATGGGTCTCTTTGCTAGCTTCCTTTTTGGTTTGACCCTTTTCTTGTTGGGAGGGAGATGGAAGACACTCAACACAAGACAGTAGAGATGTGCAGTTGCCCTGGGAAGTAACAGAGCATGCCCCAGGCCCGAATTTCACTCTAAGTAGCAACACTCCATGATTTCCCAGATTCTGAATCCACCTGCACCACCTGCAACTGTTTACAGGACCCCATGAGTCACACCCTGGGAGAGCTCAGTGGATGGTGCCCACCTGTGTTCTCTTCTGATGCCAGCCTCTATCACAGTGCATAAAGACTCCAAGTTAAAAATAAAAGAAAGAAAGAAAAACAAATGGATATATGGATTCTAACATCCAGCCAGAAACCCAGAGGCAACAGTGGACAGAGAAAGGCACAGAGCTTCTCGCCTTATGTGTGGATTAGATGGAGGTTTTGTTGCTCAGGGTTCCGTTGTCTTCCACTGTGTCATTCCTAATAAAGTTACTATATTCATAATCCAAGTTTTCTTTCAACTTGTTGAGCTCAAAGTCATGAATAATTTTGACAGTCATTAACTTTTCTCGTTTGATTTTCTCTATGACATCTTTTGGGACATCCGGTATCATCCAGGCCAATAAGAATTTAAACAGAAACACGATGTGCTAAAAGAGTGATAAAAGAAAGAAATACTGTTAGTATAATCGAGCACTCAGCAAGGAGTCCTTAAAGGTCCTCTTGAGCATCTAATAAACTCTACTGAACACAGGAAGCACTAAGTTGAATCCTATATACAAGTAAATATGAGAGTGTACATGTGCACATGTGTGTATCCTGTAATTTTAACACATACAATTAAATTAAATAAACATATATTTAAAAAAGCAACTAGGTAAATGGAACATGGCTATTAAAAAAAACCTGCCCTTTATCTGTGCCCCACCCTAAGAATCTAATAAAATATCTCTAAAATAGTCCTAATTTCCTTTAGATAAGAAAGCTCACATTCAGCCATGTAATTGGTGATTTAGTGTTAAGTTGAAACTTAAAGCCTACTGGCCATTTTGTTTTAAACTCTCAGAAAGTTTTCAGGAATGAAGATAGCTAGGCCTTCCGAGGACAGTAGTGTAGTGTAGAATTGAAAACAAGAGCATCAGTTGGCATTTCTACGAGAAGTTGTAGAATGTTCAGGAACTAAGTGAAGAGTTTTATTTTTAAAGCAGAAAGCTGTGACCACTGGGGCATAGGCTGTGGTGTAGGGGGGTAGGGAACATATTGAAAGCAACATTTCTACAATGTGAAATTCAGAATACTGAATGTGGGCAGGAAAGAAAGAGCAAAAATGGAGACACAGGGAGGGGAAGAAACCGCTGGCCTGCTGAGAACAGAGTCCCACATGATCATCAACACTAAAGCCTTCTTTCCCTTTTCAGCTGTGAATCTATAGTTAGGAGTCTCACCAGGAAATACTTTGACATTCCTAGTGGCTCCTGGTTGTACCTCATCATATTATAATCCCACCTAAAGTACCTCCTTTAGAATCATCCTCTAATCTCATGTATCAAAAGGAAAGAAAAAAGTTTCTTAGTAAATTCTGGAGAGTGAACCTCAGAGCTGCTGGGATTACCATTGTGGTTAATGCCAAACACTCAATTGCGACTCTAATGTGGAGCCCATACCTACTTAGGTAGGATCTTCTTCTTTCTCCCTCTTCACTCATGTGCTTAAAATATATGTTAAAACATCTTAATAGGGGGCTGGGTTGTGATTCAGTGGTTAAGAGCACCAGCTGCTCTTCCAAAGGACCTGGGTTCAGTTCCTAGCACAGGGCAGCTAACAAATGGAACTCTGGCTTCAAGGAAGCTGACATCATCTTCTGAGCTATGTGGGCACTGCATTAATGTAATATACATACATGAAGGCAACACACACACACACACACTAAATTAAATATAAGAAGGACATCTTAGTAAACAGTGACAGCCTCTGGAGAAGCTGACACCATGCTCTTGGGTGTGCTTGGATGTCTTTCTTGGGTGATTTTCTTTATAGTTCTAAAATTGGTTGTTGATTAATTGTGTCATATGTAGGTATGTGGATGATTCATAGAGGTCATAGGACAACTTAGGGAAGCTAGTTTTCTCATTCTATCATACGGGTTCTAGAAATCTGACTTGAATTGTCAGGATTGGAAGCAAGCACCCTTACCCACTGAGACATCTTGCCAGACCCCTCTATTAAAAACAAAACAAACAGAAACAAAAAACCAACACTGTTTTATACTGGGTAGGCCTGAAACCCTTTTCTGCATCGACCCATCTGGAATATGGGATGGCAGACTGAACTTTTGTGGATTTCTAATGAAAGGTGGGGTCACACCTCTGTACCCCAAGCTTGTAACCTTGAACCCTGATTCTTGAATATACAATACTGTCTACTGTGCAATAAAATGTCTAACAAGAAAGAGAAAGAACAAAACAAACTGGAACCAAGAGGAAAAAGCTAATGAAGAGAGCAAAGGTATGGCTTCCAGCTCTTTACAAGTGAGAAAATATGGTCACTGAAGTTTGGAACAGAGAAACAATAGAGGAAGGGGACATTTGAAAAGGAAATCACAGAGACAGACATTTTTTGCCCTTCCCCCAAACTTAAGAATGTGATTTCAGAACTAGGGGCCTCAGCATTCAGAACAACTGTGCTATCCAGTAGCAAATACCTTGCTTGTGAAGTTTCAGACTGGCAGGGCTGGTGAGAGAACATTTAAAGTTTGTTCATCTTAAGGTCATTAACAAGGAAGGGAACTGAATGGCCCTGACCTTGATAACAGCATTAGAATCTGGACAGAAATGGAGCAATGTCTTAAATGTTTTTAAAGATTGCCTAAACTAAGGTTAAAAAAATTAATGACAACAGCTTCGGACTTTTAATTTCAGACCAAATAATTATAATATTTTTTGGTAAATTTTCAATATTCAAGGTTTCAAAAACAAACCACATCTAATTTTTCTTCAGAGTGTTTCTGAAAGATGAATCTCAAAATTAGGTAGTAAATCTCAGGGGAATATTGAAAGAGTGGTCTAGACCTTTTGTGGGAAATGTGAAATAAATTTAAGAAGAATTAAAATCTGATGGAGTGGAAAGGAAGCGGGGGAGAGAGAGGGAAGAAAGAGCAGGAGTGGGAGGAACATAAGCCTAAACAAAGAAAAGTTTTTGGAGCATATTGTATGAAACAAACATTACTAATATTTACAAAGTATATATAAACCTTGACTAAACTCCTAGGTGAAACCTTGATGGATACACCATTTCAGTGTCGATAGTGATTAAACACCAAAAACTGTATCATTTAGTGTATAAAACAAGTACCAGCAGGTTCTGAAGTGTTCCTTTGGCATTTCTGTAGCAATTTTGACCAACAGTCACTCCAAAGAGAATGAATAAGGCTACTTATTAACTGAAACAGTATCATATCAAGGTTACATAGCTACTAACTCAAAAAACAATTGTTTTTTGAGATTTTGTACTTCAGGAGAGGAATTATAGGGCTCAATAAATCAGATATACATATATATGCATATGTTATAATTATCTTTAGGAGTAGGAGGAAGATGATGGTATGTAAATGAAGCCAGTGTCAAGTGTGCTCCTGTGTGTGACATGTCACTGTAGGAGGTCAACAATTACAGCCTAACACTGAAATCTGAGTCTGTTGTGATAGTGTTTCAAAGTTGACAATGTTTGCCTCTGGAGATCAGGTTTTGAAGCTAGTGAGATATGTGTAAGGCTTCTCTCTGTTAGCTACATAGAGCTATCTAATTTTAAACAGGCATAGACTGCCTGAATAGCAATCATTAGTCATGTATAGCAATAATGAGTCCAAGAAACTGTAATTGAGCAGCACGTGCTCAGGTTGCATCTGTGTTGTACTTGGACACTCCCACAGGGAGACCCCATCTTATTTTTTTCTCTGTTCCTATTTAACGAGATTTATCCATTCTCCCTCTGTGGGAGTTACATTTTCTTGTCAATGGTCTCTCCAAATACTGCACATGGAAGTAGTGCCCTGCAGTGAGTAGGACTGAGTTTGGACTGATGCACAGAAGCTAACTAACTAACCTCAAGCTAATGACATAGTTTGATGAACATCAGTTTCATCTGTAAACAGTAAAAAGTGAGGTTAGTTGATAAGAGTGTTCTGGAGGAGAGCCTTTGGAACAGGATTTCTACAAATCAGCCTCTTCCTGACCTTGCCATGCATTACCCTTCCTTTTCTGTTGCCAAGGTGTTTTATACCAATTGTAAGTGAATAACAAGTTTCCAAGAGAAGTTGCAACTTATGACAACAAATGATTCCTTCCAAAGAAAGGAGAGGAAGTTGACCTACTGATGGCAGGTGTGTTTAGAAACAGCTGCTTAGGGGAACAAAAGAGATGGGAGAGATGAAAGAGATGGGGGAGAGTCCAGGTCTGCTTACTTCCATTACTATGATGAAGGTCATCTTGGCCGCAAGGACATGCCAGAACTGCATGTTATGGACATACTTGTTCTCATGATCAGGAGGGTTCCTGTAATCTCTGTACCTACAAAACAAAGAAAAAGAACAATAATGAACATACGTAGGTAGGCATTAAGACAGAGAGAAGATCTATGGCAGATAGATATGATAGATAATAGACAGGTAGGTAGATGGAGAGAAGTTGATCTATGATAGACACAGATGATAGTTGACAGATGATAGGTAGATAAACAGACATTAATATAGATGAGAGATACATAATCTGAGATAGATAAATAGGTAAATATGTGATAGACATATATGACAGATGGACAGAATGACAGATAGATGATAGACATTTGTGGTAAGTTGAATAAAGAGAACTTAAGTAAACTACTATTATTTCTCTTAGGCAACAGTACAAACCCAGGTCACAGGAAAGTTAACAGATAGTATTAAACCTTTTCCTGTACTCACAGCTCCAGGCTTGTGCTACTTATCCATATTACCTCCCTAATGGGAGATAAACCAGAGAAACTTCCTTGGTCTAGTGCAACTTCTCCCACAAGAGACCAAGCTTCCATGGCATTTCATCAAAATCCCCCTCCCATCTGACCCATCCAACTTGCTGTGTGGACCACTTCTGTTATGCAGAGACTGCTTCCTTTTAGATGTACTGACAAGGCAGTGTTCTCTTTCTGGACTCTTCTTGTGATCAGACTTTCATATTATTCCTTTCTACAAACTCACTAGATGGATGTTCTTCAAAAACTCATCCCAGCTTTTAGAAAGAGGTTAAATCAAGAGATTCGACAACAGAGATTTCAGTCTTGAACACTGTGCCATGATTCCTTTGATTTCAAATGTGCCATAGATCAGTGTTTTTGTCTTATTGTCCGGAAATGGTTTTCTTGCTCTTTGCTGGAATCCCCAAGGGAGAGGTTAGTGTGAGGTTGAAGTTAAGATTAAAGGCTTTGTGTGTACATATGTGTACATATGTTTATCAGTCTGTTACCTATTTATGATCTACTATCTATCTGTATTATCTATCATAGATTATGTCTACCTATCAATCTATTTAGCTATCTATGAAAATATATCTTTAACAAATATCAGTACCATCTACCTATTTATCTCTATTATTTATCAATCTATCTTTATCTTATTTCTATTATATATATACATATCCACATCTATCTTTACTGTTTATATCTGTTATCTCTATATTTCTATTAATCCATCTTTATCATCTATCACTGTCATCTAGTTATACCATAATTATCATATATGTATGTATGTATGTATGTATGTATGTATGTATGTATCTATCTATCTATCTATCTATCTATCTATCTATCTATCTTTCCATCCATCCATCCACCCAACCACCTGCCTATCTCCATCCGTGATCTATCTATAATATCTCTATTATCCATCCACTTACTTACTGACTATTGTTTTCATATTCTATGGTATGGAGATCCCCACAGAATATGATGCACCGAGTGTGGTAATAACAGTTGACAAACCCCACCTCATACATTGTATACTGAAGAAAACCTTTAAACCAGATGATGACTGCTGAAATGGTCCCATTGTTACATTGTTATTTCTCTATTTCTCAGTATATTTTCTGAGGATAAATGGTAGAATTCATTTAATTAACCATACAGACTGATAGATGTTATGGCTCAAGTCCAGGGAGCTTGTCCCAGTTAGTGAGCAACATTTTAAAAAATAATTCAAAACTAAGAAACTATTTAAGAACAACATGACCTCCACCCATAATTCCTTCCTTTGGATAGTCTGTTAGGTCATACAACATATAAATTCCAAGAAATGAGTTGACTCAAGTAAACCCTTTATACTATAAGACAAGCATTAAGAAAAAAAGATAATTTAAGAAAGACATTAAAAGTACAGTGCTAAAACCAAGACAGAAGGAGACCTGCAAGTGATGAAGTCTTTTTTCCCCATGGGTACTGTGTGGTTGGGGAAGTCATCTATCAGGAACACTGACAGGCTGTTATTGACATATCCACTCAAGGGCTCCGTGGAATTCTTTGAGTAAGCATAGAAGTAAACTAACCGTGGGATGATGTCAGATGTGAACGCAACAATGAAGGCCTGATGGACAAAGGGAGAGAATGATTATGAGCCCAATCCAGATTTCAAAGTCTGACTTGTAGGCAAGCCCACTTCCATTTTTTTTTTTTATTGCCTCTATTCACGTATTGTGCCTCTGAGTTTTCCTTTGGTGGCTGAAGTCACATGCTTAGATTAAGTCTTCCTGTCTTAGTATTTAAAGAGTGTTACCAGCCATGAGGTTTTCTGTAACTGTGCTCCACCTCCTTTTTTCATGTTCTCACTGAATTTAAACTCTACAATTTCAGCCCTGTGTCCTTTACATAAAACTCTAAAATAAATCACAATATTATGTTGTCAAATCTCCTTTTGATTACCTCAGTAAAACTTCAATTGGTAAAACATAATTTTAGACAAAAATGAAGGCTAAAAAGTTAGTGTTTGTGAAATTTAGTTTTAAAAATCATTTTGTAAGTAAAAATTAAGTAAACTTATATTCTTCATATAACATATATTTGTGTATAATCAATCTTTGACTCCATTTTTTCAAACCTGTTACATTGTCACTGATTTTCTGCCTAGATTAGCACAGTATGTAAAACAACATCATTGTAGTTTTATTAGAAAATACTATTTTCTTCCTATTGATCTTGCTCAGAAAATAAAGTTTCAGCTTGTCCTTACAAGTCATCACTGTGATGAAATTGGTGCAAACTAGGATTGAGTTAGGTGTCATTCACACTCCGCCACCCCAGCAGAAACAAAAAGAAGGGCAAAGTCATCCCATGGAAAGGGGCACTTACATTAGTTGCAACAGAGACAATGGCCATTCCATAGAGAATGTCCTGCCAGATACCTATTGAGTGAGCTTTCGCAGCTACAGGTCTCCTGTACTGAGTTGTCAGCTTCCAGGCGTCCACTCGGATTTCCATAATGTTGTTTATGAGAGCGAATAGGGGGGCCAAGGGAAAGGAGGCCACAAACAGCGTGACAAACCCGAACTGGATAACTGAGGAGACACAGGTCACCCATCATTATCGAGGAGACGAAGGGCCAATCCACCCTGCTTCTGCCATCTCACCTCTTCTCACCTGCCTCGTTATGAAGTGTACAAGCAACACTGATCCATTCCTCACTCCTCTGAAGGGACCTATAACTAACTACTCTGAGGGAGAGGCATCCTGGGTTTCAAGGTGTTAGTCTCAGATCTTTATCTAGGAAACTAATTAATCTATTGAATTTCAGCATCTTCAACACCAAAAACAAATACAGTCAATGAGCACACTGCACCATTATCTCATGACTCGAAGAATCTGTGAGAGCTTTCAGTATAAACTAAGTCTTGGTTGGCCTTCAAGACACAGAAGCTAATTTTATTATAAATGATATTTCACATTTCTGTGTTGGCACTAACCTTCCCTGTCTGTGTAAACACAGTTATTCAGAATTCCCACAGTGAGAAAAAAACACTGTGTCATCATCATCCTATAAAGCAAGAACAACCTAATTGCATACTGAGCTGCATGAAACAAGAATTCCCATTTCTCTATACAACAATGTGCACAGTATTACCCATCTAATGCCATACAATATAAAGTAAACTAGGGTAACACTGGTTTATGTTGAAGCATAAAAATGTTTTCTATCACACTGGCAGATTTTAATATAAAATATATAGCATATCTAATAAATGTTAATCACTTAGTTTTTACATCATCCCCTTTGTTACACCAGGATTTTGATACTAAGTACATGGAATGCCCCCTATAGTTCCACCAAAGCAGGGGATATTGGTGAGCAGAAATGCCCTTGGCATATCAAACAAACAGCCTGAGGACTAGTTCTCTAAGAACTCACCTCAGTGTTTCTTCCATGTTCAATAATTGGGATGAAGGAAAACTAAACTGTTTTCTCCATCTATCCATCCATTCATCTATCTTCCATCAATACATATCCATATATCTTCTTCTATCCACCTGCTATTCACACAGACATATACCCCTTTTTATATATATATATATATATATATATATATATATATATATTTATATCTGCTATCCATACATCAATACATTCATCTATCTTTCTTCCATATGTGTATATCTGCCATTTATTAATCTATATGCCTATCCATTCATCTGCCTATCCACCATTCATCTACACATGAATAACCCACCTACCAATCCATCTGCCACTATTCATGTCTATCATCATCTATCCATCTGCCATCTATCCATATATCCATCATCTATCCATCCATTCTATTTTTTCATTCGGTAATTCAAACATCTACTGTAAATAAAACAGAAAGAAATTGCAAGACCTGAAAACTATCCATTTTATTACTGTTATTGCTGCCACAGAATCGTGATTACAAATTACCTGTTTCCAAGTACTCATAGAATAGCCCAAGTTGTCCAAAAACCTGAAGGTCATTATCTTGCTCCCAGCGACTGTATAGTTTCTCAGAGTTGGTTCGGGATTTTCGGCGTCTCCACCAATTAAAAATTAAGCTGTAAGAAATGGTAAAAGTTGACACTTGAAGACAGAAGTAAGAGAGCCAGTATGCCAAATCCAAGTCTTGAAACTGTCAGAAAGAGAGGCTACACACCTTAAGCTAGCATAATAGGAGATGAAATCCAGGTGAAAACCTGTTTTTGCCACATATGGAGGTGGGGAGAAGTCGGGCAGCTCTGCCTTTACCTGCTGCTTAGTAGAGCACTCACTCAGAGACAGGCAGGTTGATGGAGCATGCGAAGGAGGTGGTCAGGGCAACAGCCAAACCCCGCACCTCTGCAATGCTCAGTAAACATTTGCAGAAGTGAGAAATCGAGTATAATATAAAATATACTTGAAAGGAAAAGCAGAGGCCTATCTAAGTAAATGCAATAATACTACAAATGCTGGTATATTTAATGTCAAACACAATAGTGTGTGTTATCAAATCCCTTCTGGTCTACTTCTAAGAGATAATCAGCGATGGAATTGGTGTTAGCTCAGTCTGGGTGAAGCATATAAGATACAGGTAGATTCCTCATTGGTATAAAGACATTTGGAATAAAAACTGAAGTGAGAAAGTGCATGATCATATTCAAGTGAATAGCATGAATAAAAAATAAATGAAATACAAAGCACTAAGATTATAAAACAGACTGTGTCTGTGGAAGAAAAATAAAACAAAAAGTTAAGACTTATGATAGGACAAAATATTCTCTGAACATATACTCAAAAAAGAAGGAAACAAAGAAGACTCGGGAGCTAAAGCTTTTGAAGTGTCACTGAAAGAGAGAGAGAGAGAGAGAAAGAGAGAGAGAGAGAGAGAGAGAGAGAGAGAGAGAGAGAGAAGCAGCAAGGTAGGGAAGGCATCAGACTACATGAACAAGCACACCGAACCTAAGAATAATAGGTATAGAAGAAGGTGAAGAAATACAACTCAAAGGTACAGAAAACATATTCAACAAAATCATAGAAGAAAACTCCCCCAACCTACAGAAGGATATGCCTATGAAAGTACAAGAAGCTTACAGAACACCAATAGACTGGACCACAAAAAGAAGTTCCTTGCCACATAATAATCAAAATACCATTTACAGAATAAAGAGAAAATATTAAGAGCATCAAACGAAAAGGCCAAGTAACATATAAAGGCAGACCTATCAGAATTACACCTCACTTCTCAATGGAAACTTTGAAAGCCAGAAGGTCCTAGATAGATGTACTACAAACACTAAGGGAACATGGATGCCAACTCAGACTACTGTACCCAGCAAAGCTTTCAATCACTATAGATGGAGAAAAAAGATATTCCATGACAAAACCATATTTAAACAATACATATCCACAAATCCAGCCCTACAGAAAGTTCTGGAAGGAAAACTCCAACCCAATGAAGATAACTACACTCACAAAATATAGGTAATAGATAATCAAACTTTACCAAACAGGAAAAGAAACAGGAGGGCAAAATCCACACACAATGACACTACCACCAATAAATCCAAAACAAACAAGAACCAACAATCAATGGACATTAATATCCCTCAATGTCAGTGGTCTTAACCTTCCTATAAAAAGATACAGGCTTACCGAATGGATACAAAGACAGAATCCATCCTTCTGCTGTACACAAGAAATACACCTCAACTTAAAAGACAGGTGTTACGTCAGAGTAAAGGGTTGGGAAAAGATTTTCCAATCAAATGGACCCAAGAAACAAGCTGGTGTAGCAATACTAATATCTAACAAATTAGACTTCAAACTAAAATCAATCAAAAGAAATGAAGAAGGGCATTTATACTTGTCACAGGAAAAGTCCATCGAGATGAAGTCTCAATCCTGAATATCTATGCCCCAAATACAAAGGCACCCACATTTGTAAAAGAAACATTACTAAAGCTCAAGGCATACATAAATCCCCACACATTTATAGCAGGAGACTTCAATACTCCACTTTCACCACTAGACAGGACAATCAGACAGAAACTTAACAAAGAAACAAGGGATCTAACAGAAGTTATGACCCAATTGGGATTAACAGACATCTATAGAACATTCCACCCAAACACAAAAGAATATACCTTCTCTTGCCAAATGGAACCTTTTCTAAAATTGACCACATACTTGGCAACATAGCAAACCTCCACAGATACAAAAAATTGAAATAAGCCCCTGTATCTTATCAGATCACCACCCTTTAAAGTTAGTATTCAACACCACCACAAATAGCAGAAAACCTACAAACTCATGAAAATTGAATAACGCACAATTGCACTATTCCTTTCTCTTTCATTGATGGAAATGCTCCTCTGTGTGTGAAATCAGCTGGTATTTTAGCTCATATATGTGTGTGTGTGTGTGTGTGTGTGTGTGTGTGTGTGTGTGTGTGTGTGTGTACACAGCATAACACAAGGATTAAAAAGGAAAAGGTTCAACGTTTAGTAATAGTAACAATTATATGTAACATCCCAAAGCTCAGGTACCATCTCAGAAGAGGGGGCTGGACGACTGTAAACAACAGAGGTTAGAAGGACTGGGTGAGGGAGAAATAGTATCTTCTGAACGTGACAGGACTGTTGTACTCATGGACTTGCAGCTGGGGCTGTTGCACGAAAGATTGAGACACTCAACATTCCAGCACAGAGAAGTGTGTTTTTTGGGGGGTGGGGTGGTAAGCCCCCACCAATGGATAAATAGTTATTGAAAGTTGATGACTTCTGGGGAGGGAGAGTCAGTTTTCTTTAAAGCTTTGGCCTCTGGTAGGTTGAGCATCCTCTAGTGAGTGGCTATACACCAGTGAGTATATGCACAGTATAAACTGAACTCAGTGTACCACAGCAAAAGAAAAGTGAAAGAACAGGAAGTGGGAAGTTGTGGGGAGATGAAGAGTAGTGGATAGAGAAGTTAGGAAGAAGAGGGGACTGAGCAGGATTAAAGTACAGAATATGCAGGCATGAAATTCTCAAAGAATCAACATAAATTTTATCCTACTGGGAATCTAATATATTGATTTCCCCAGTTAAATATTTACAGTTGCACTTAATAGCAGAAATATTCACTTAAAAGCACTACAGGGTGTGAGGCTCATGCTTTTAATCCCAACATTGCAGAAAGCAGAGGCTGACAGATCTCTGTGAGTTATGAGTTCCAGACCAGCCAGAGCTACATGGGGAAACCCTATCTCAAAAACACACAAAAAAGCCTGTACTGAAACATCACATTGCAGTCAGTAAATATGTACATTCAAGTGAGTATACATAATAGTTATTTGTCAGTTGAAAATAAAACTAAGGAAGGAAAGCTTTGTTGTTGTTGTTATTGTTTGTTTTTGAGATAAGCTTTCTCTGTGTAGCAGGGCTATCCTGGAACTCACTATGTAGACTAGGTTGACCTTGAACCCAGGGATATGCCTGTCTCTGCCTTCCAAGTGCTATGATTAAAGGCATGTACCACTGCCTGGCCTGGAAGAAAAGCTTGGCTGGCCATGCAATTAAAAAAATACAACAAAAGCCTCTATTACCAGAGGCATTCTGCTCTGTTCATTAAACATAAATTGTTCCTGTTTGCATAGACATTTTTTGACAAAGATACAATGACAGTAAAAAAATATATACACCCAGCTTCTTGAATTGCTATTTAAATCAAAGATGCAAAGTGTAAGTCATACATACGGTTGGAAGGCTTCATGGATGTTTCCAAAAAGTTGTTTCGCAATCATGATGATAGTTAGCTGGGTTGTCAGCTCTACCAGACAACCTGCAGGATCACACTGTTCAGAAACAGTAGAGGAGAAAACAGAGATAGAAGAGGAGAAACAGAATTTTGCAACGTCTAGAATATCAGAAACTCAAAAAGGTATAGTAAGGGATTACAATATGGTCGGGAGAGGCAATGATGGGATTCAGGAGCCATTCAGTTGCATAGACCATGGACTAGTACCGGGGTAACTACATCAAACCCATTTCAGGGTCTCAATGTAAATAAAGAATTCGAGTCTTAGAAAATTAATCTTGATGTCTGTGCAAAGACTAAAAGGTGGTATAATTTTAATGTGATCAGTTTGTAAACATTTGGTCATGTGTATCAGGCCATGGAAGAGCACTTTCTTGACTCTTGACCCTTTGCAGGATGCTTTCAAGAATAAAAGCTCTGTTCCCCATACTCTATATTTTACTGCCAGACCATAGGATCTTTGATAGCTAGTGTCAATTGTCATCCTGTTAGAATGTAGTGGAATCATTTGGGTAATGAGCCTTCGGACATGTATATGGAGGACCATTTCTATTAGAGTAATTAAAGTGGGAAAACCTGCCCACTATGGGTGGCACCATTCTCTAGGTGGGATCCTGGACTGTGTAAATGGAGAAAGGGTTTGAGTAGCCACACAGGCAGTCATTGCTTTCTGATTCCTGACTGGATGCCATGTAAACAGCTGCTTCAAGTTCCTGCTGCATTGACTTTCCTGCCATGATATGCTTGAATGGTGAGAGGAAATAAGTCCTTTCTCCCATAAGTTGCATTTGCCAGGGTATTTTATCATAGCAACAGCAAACAAAACAAGACAGGCCCCATAAAAATTCTTGCTCACAGGAAACTAAAAAAATCTAACAGATGATAAGATTGATCAGAGGGTGTGTCTGGACTTCTACACCTTGACAATGTCTGTGATAGTGCTAGGGAGAAAGGCATGCCTTGATTATCTGAGAACACAGATCTGAGCTGGAAGAGAGTCCTTACCTCTTCACTTCTCCATAAGTTAAACATATATGTGTACTTCCCAGGATAGCCCACGAGCTTCCCTTTAAAGAAGGCCACGTAAAAGCAAGCTGAGTAATAGTTCACAAACTGGAAGAGAAACATCTTCAGAGTGAGACTGCTCTCATACTCCTGGTAAGTTCGAGGGATTTCTGCCAATAGAAACCACCAAGGATAAATGCTCTTTCCCTGAATGCTGTACTTATAAGTAGCTATCTAGGCATGCCGTCTCAAAGTGTGTGAACATGCTCCTTGTTCTGACTCAGGCGACCAATGTTGAGGAGCTGTGTGTTTGTGCTGGCTTCTTGTTGGTCATGTTGTGTTCATCCCATGGCTGGGAGAGTCTAGGAAGCAGTCACTACATTTCAAGGGTGGGGATTTCTCTATGTGTAATAGAGTCTGAATGTGGAGTTTGAATCCCTACAAGATGGGAAGTGCCCCTCACCATCACTGCTAGACACTACAAAAATCCCATCTTGCTTCTCTCTCCTTCACCTGTTGTCAAGTTGGTGTAAACCAGGTAAGCTTATGGCTAGGGCTGGGAAGGTTTCTAACTCCATTGTACTTTCCTTCTCTTGAACTAAACTGTACCCGAAAATGCTGGCAGAGATAATATATGCTTGCTCTTTCCTTAATTAAAATGCAGTCATGGTTTGTAAATTAACAAATTCTAAAGATAAGAAGTATTAACTTCTCTTCAAAGTCTGTTAGAGAATTGCGAGGAGTGCAGAGAGTAAGGGAACACACTTTCTTTCAAGAATGGGCAATTTCCTATTAGAACAGCTGACCTAGACATTCCCATGACACTTTCAGGAGTAGAACAAAATATTCCAAGGACACAGACAACTTCCATTTTGGTGAAGCTCGGTTGAATTTATTAAAAACATCTCAGAGAGAAGCTCAGGGATAGTTTCCACTGAAGAAAGCCATGACTTGATGGTGTCTTTCAGAACATTTTATCTGCTGTGATTTGCTCACTATTGCCCAGAAAAAAAGGAGACTTGAGTGAGAACTCAAAATTTGAAAATGATGCAAGGGTTGTTCCCAAGCAGTGCTTGCCTGGTGCTTGCCCTTGTGTGGAGCCATGAGAAGGGATGCCCTTGACTGCTAGCTAAGGGGCTAGGCTTGTCTATCTCTAATGGGTCCAGATAGCAACAGAAGCACATGTGCTCTTTGCAGTATTCCTTGCTCAGGTCCTTGCTTTACCCATGATCCCATCACTTTCCATTTCAGGAAAAATTTGAAAACTTAGCAAGAACATAATCTAGGGTGTAACAGATGCCACTTAGACAGAGAGGCACCATGCTCAGGAGGGGCTGGTGTTCTGTTTGTTTTTGTTATTTTTTTTCTATCTCAGAATGATTTCCAGAAACAAATACCTTCCAGAAACATAACATGTAAAACTAGATCATCCCATGGTTTTAGTACCCTGGGAATACTGAGATAAGAGCCCTCAAAATGGCCCAAGGAGTCCTGGAGTCTTTTTAGAGTTTTTCCCTCCATTGTGAAATGACTGAGTGTGGATCTTAAGGAATTACTAAAAATCAAGTGTGGATCTGCTCAGAGAACAAAGCAGGCTAAAAATTGTACTCTTCGGATGCCAATTCCCTGTGAGGGGGCCCAAAAATGGATGTGCAGTATTGGCTGAAATCTTTGTTTACCTCACTCTCATAATTTGGCCAGCTTACCCATTTTTGTAATCCAGGCAGATATCCTCTCATAAAAAAAATTCAAGATCAAGATGGCAATACAATTCAGACATGATCCAGAGAGATTGGTGGCCAGCTGGGGGGTGAAGAAGCTCTTTACATTCTGTAAGGTGGCTTCACTCTCCATGAAGCTGGCAAAGGTGGCAAAGACTGACAGGCGATACACAATGATGGACACCATGCTGCTGAGGAGGAGACCCATCTGAGGGGAAAACCGAGAGCCACTGGATGTACTGTTTGCCCATTCAGTTATAAGCTCAGCAGCTGCATAGGCAAAGCAACCCCTCTTACCATAGAGGCATCAGATAAAATACCACAAGGTAGAAAGAAGGCTTAAAGAGAAATCATTTGTTGGCTATGGGTTAAGCATGAAATAGGGAAAAACCATTACCCACTGTGATGTCAAACATGGTCAATTCGACAGAAGACACATCTAAGTGAGTTATTCAGATTATGTTAATTGAAACAGAAGAGCCATCTTAACTGGGAGTGATGCCACTCCATAGGCCTAGGATCTGGACAGGATAAAAGGGGGAAAGTGAGCTGAGTACTGGCTGGCATTTCTCTCTCTTTTCTTTGTGACCCTGAAAGCAATGTGACCAGCTGCCTCAAGTAGCCATTGCCATGCATTCTCTGCCATGATGAACTGTGTCCTTGAACTGTGAACCAAATTAAACTCACTTTCCTTTTAGTTGATTCTTGCCAGTTATTTTATCATAGCAATATGAGAGGGGACTATTACAACTTTGTAATTCATTTTATCAGTGTTTGCTAATGACAGCCTTATTTCTGAATCCTTACTCTGGCTTGGTATGTTTTGATGTGGCTCTTGAGATAAGCTTATCATTTATCTTCTGTCTGTCTATTTTCCTTGCTGCCTGTCTGTCTATCATCAATGAACCCTTCATCCATCCATTTATCTATCCATCATCCATCCAACATCTATCTATCTATCTATCTATCTATCTATCTATCTATCATCTATCTATCTATATTATCTCTACCAATACAGACTAATTTTTAATGTTCTAAAGAAAATAAAACATAATCCTGAACCAGAGATTTTGTAGCCATGAATGAATTCCCCTTCAGGAAAAATTTGCCAAAATATGATCTAGGCTTTGGTTATGTAGTTCCCACAACAATTTTGTATACATTGTATATTGCCAAGCACTATGTCTCTATATCAATTCAATGACTGGAAAACTTCAAAGTTGAGGAAGCAAATCACATTGTGTGATAAGGAGAAAATGAGAACAAAACAACAATTCTGGGACTGTGCTTCCAAGTTCGTTTCTCAGAATTGATCCCAAGGTCGTTATTTGTTTCTCCTTCATTTGTCTTTTTCTTTTAAAGTTCCTATGTAAGCTAAGGAAACATATTTCAGCTAACTATTTAAAGATATACAAATATTTTAATAAGAACTGTTAAAACTGTACAGTGTACATATATACACACATACACACAGGAGAAGTTAAACTCTAGTCTAAAATAGTTAATTTCTTTACACCTCAATATGAAATTCTCTCAGAGGCTAACATCTTCATCCCTCTTCCAACTGAGACAAGTTCACAAATTTAGAAAGGAAAGGAATCATGGTGAGGATAAAGGTATTAGCTATAGATATTGAGAGAAACCAACTCCCTCTCACAGATTTGTCTTCTTCGGATTTTATTCTGTTTATTTCAACAAGAAAAGGATGTTTAATTCTTGGTCAAATGTGTAGATACTTTAAGGAAATGAATGATGTTGATAACATTAACCAGAGACTGCAATGAAGATGAATATAATGTTTTGCTTTGGTTTCAAGGTATCAGTCAATGAGACAGACAGGAACAGGCTGTGAAATCTGGACTCTCCCCCCACAACTTTTTACAAATTTCAGTTTGGGGGAAAATCTATTTAAATTATGGCATGCTTTGTATAAGAGGTGTAGCCAATGTAGGAAGAATGGGGCATTGCAGGAATGATCCAAAAGCCTGATGCAGACAGAGTTATGGAGATACTGTGGTTCATCGAGGATTGTGTTACAAAGAAATGGTAAAAGATTGCAAAATGGTGCTTACCCCAAAGGTCACTGTGGTCCCTGACACAAAGTACCATGGTATGCGATGGCACAGAGGCATGTATGGCTCCATCTCCTGTAATATTGGAGAGATAAGTCACACTTCATCCTCACAGTTGGGAATCCAAATGACAGTAGAACAGTCAATGAGTATGCTGAAGGTAGAGACCTCACAAAGGGCCCTCTCATTACTTAGCTCATGGAAAGTATCTCCTTCCCTTGAAGAGAAGGCCATAAGACCCCAAAGTGACATTCCACCTGAGCTGAGAGACTTGATTGAGACAGCCTGCTTCCTAAGTGTTGGGTTACAGTGGCCTCCAGGGTCTCACAGAGACAATGTCCAAACCAATGTATGCTAAGGTACAATTTAATTCCAGGTGGAATGTTTGCTACTTGTTTTATAGCTTATGAAGTTCCTGTGTTATTACCCAAAACTCAGCAGGTCAGGCTCTTCTCCCTGAGTCTTCACAACCTTTAATATACAAAATATTAACTGGATCCACTGACATTCTGAGCTACAGTCAAACATGGATTTTTATTTACAAAGATTGCTATAAAGTAAAGAAGATCTGTCAGGAAATATGCAAACCATAGAATTATACAAAATGTAAAATTACACGCTTATGGATTTTCAAATTGGACCAAGAGTTACAGAACATTCCCTGGGCTAAGAAGCCTTCTAAGAGCTCTATGGATATGCAGGCTTTGCACACATGTGTGCACATGGGATCCTTTGCACTGGCCCTGTGTACACCCAATGTATGTGTGCTAGTGCCCATTGTGTGTGTATGTGTGTATCCACACACATGTGCCATTGATACAGACCCACATGTGAGATTTCTGCTTAAACACTAAAATCTATTACCAGAAATGAAAAATTCCTGTCTTGTCACTTTGTGTCTGTTAGAGCTAAACAAAATAAGAGAATCATGGAGAATCTACATATTACTTGCCATAAAGGCCAAATGTAAAGACTCAGCCCATCTTTTATGTTGGTGAAACCAAGTGGCATGCCTCTGTTGTCTTTTTCTACTATGAACAAACAAATACACGTCATCTCATGTCATTATTTTATCCAATGTATTTTCTTAACACCTCTTCTGGCTTAAGAAAGAAATGTTCCCCATAAGCTCAAACATTTGAACACTTATTCTCCAGCTGGTGGAACGGTTTAGGGTAGTTATGGAACCTTTAGGGGGTATAGTCTTGCAGGAGGAAGTACATCACCATGAGAGGGCTTTGAGCATCTAAAGGCTAGTCCATCCTCTCTCTCCCTCCACCCCGCCACTTCCTGTGTGTGGGTGTAATTCTTGGATTCCTGCTTCAGCTGCTGAGCATTGAGCATTTCCTTTCCTGACTTTATGGATGTTCCCTTTGTAACCTAAGCAAAAACTAAACTCTCTTTTCTATAGGTTACTTTTGCCAATGGTATTTTATCACAACAACAAGAAAAATTAACTCACACAACACCCAGATTAAGTAGGTATTAAACATGCTGCACATTTTATGATATTTCAATTAAATTTAAGAGATATTGGCTTATTTCTAAACTGTGAAAAGAATCTTGGGAGTTGTACTGAAATGGTGCTATCAAGAAAGTACAGGATTCTACAGAAGACATAGAACTTGAAGTGTAGCACACTCTTTCTCAGAGCACATAACAACTCCCAGCCTGTGAAGCTAACAGTCTGCCCTCTGAAGGCAAAGCATATTCCACTTTCAAATGAGAATAGGGAGGTTGCAGGAAGTCGATGCCTTAATCAAGGACACACAGACAGTTTGATGGTTGAAGATATGAAAACTTAGACTCTTCTCACTTCCAGTGGAGTGACTTTCCCATCAACAATCTATGTAAAAGCACCATGGAAAGAGAAATTCAGTCAAATAAAACTTCACTCTTAAATCCACTGTCTTAAAACAACTACTGTTTGAGTTTAACACATTAACTCATTTCCATATACACTAGCTTCCATTTTACTTCTTCTCACCTTGTAGTAGAATTACATATTTCATATTCTGATGCATTGGATTTGCTTTAAAAATAATCTAGTAGCAGGAGGGTGTGTGGATATGTACGAAAAAATGCTGTCTCTGGCGTGAAAATGCAATGTTGAGTAGCAGGTCCACCCATGGGCTGAACTATAGCTTTCTATTTGTAAATATGTTTGAAATTTTTCATATATATGACTATGTGTACATGAGGAAAAATAGGATCTTATTGATTAACTTGTATATTGATGGGACATGACCATTCCAGGGCAGCCGATAGCAGAGGGTTGCCTAAAGCAAACTCCTAATCCATGTCTACTGTACCTTCGTCACAGGATTCATCTTCTTCAGTTTACACATGGCTTCAAACTCAGGCCGCAGCTGGAGCTGCTGCTGTTCTTCTTCAAAGTCCACCAGATCCCACTCATACTCAAGCCTGGCTTGTCGCTGTTTCCAGAACTCCAGAAACAGTGTGACTACAGTAGAAGAAAGCATCAGGGTGGGGCCATCAGTAGATGGACAAACAAAAGCTGCAGGACAGCAACCCTCGGGGATGGAGGGGTAGCTTACAGTTTAGAGGGCCTGTTGTTCTAACAGAATATCTGAGCTCCATCCCCAGCATTCACATCTTGGGGCTTATAACCACCTTTAACTCCAGCTCCAGGATATCCAATGCTGTCATGCCTCATTGGGTAGCCAATGTGCACCTATGACATGCATGTGTATGTGCATGTTTGCACACACAATTGAAAATAATAAAAATACATCTTTAAAAAAGAAACTTTCACTTCTGCTTTTAATTATTTTGTTTGCAAAGCACTTCACATGTCAGTTGGAAATGTTGACCATCTTTGGTGGGTTTTTGATGATGGTTTTTATCAATGACTACTTTTGGTGTGACACTAAGTAATAACAAATTATTCATTATGGAAATTCAAGTTAATTTCTTAGTAGTTAAAGCTATAAATTTCCAGATCATCTACACTGCTTCCTCACTGAAATACTGTTATAATATTTCATCTTGACATTAGTCAAACACTAACAACTGGTATAAATTTTATAAACAGTATTTGATGAGTGTAGAAATATCTTAAATATATGAGTTCAATTGCCAGCAACCACATGGTGGCTATAAATATATATATATATATATGAATATATATATATATATATATATATATATATATATATATATATGAAATAAATTCATATTTTAAAAAATACTTCCAGTGCCAAGAAAGTCCAATATCAAATATCAGAAATACTTGTGATCAAATAACCACAAATGAGAAGTGTAAGAAGATGACACCCAATCCATCAAGCTGCATCTTCAGTGTTAAAATTTAAGGTCAGAATGTGCATAAAAGTCCAATTTTATGTAAGTCATGTAAGCATATAGTAAAGCTTTCATGTTGTAAATACAAATTTCCCCATAAATTCACATACTAAGTATTACTCTTAGAAGGTTTATATTTAAATACATAAAGATATTTGTTCCAGAAGCTGGGGATATACCTCAAAGGTAGAGTGCTGGCCTAAAATGCACAAATCCCTGGGTTCCATGCCCAGGAGCACATAGACTCTGTGTCATAGTGCACAGTAGTAATGCCAGAATTTAGGAGGCAGAGGCAGGAGGATCAAGGCCATCCTCAGTTACACTGAGAGCTCAAAGCAGCCTGCACTTTAAGAGATCTTATTTCAGAAAAGTTTATTCCAGAGCCATTTCCAGTGGTAAAAAGAAAACAGTCAGTTACCCAAATTACACAGCAGATTAGACAAAATGTGTTAAATTCATCAATAGTGAAAATACAAAGAAAATTAAGTTGGAGGAGACTTTGTACTCACCCCAGATCCCCATGAAGATTGCAAAGAACACGGTTGACTCATTATCAAACAGATGGGAGAACTGTAAAAGCAATACCATCATAAAAGCCACTTAATATGAAACACATCACCATAGGAAGGAAGCTCTGTCCCACCATATGGCACACTTACCTTTGAATGCAAGCACGTAGTGTTCAGTCTCCAGTAATCGCACACTTCATCACAAAGTGGACACATGATCATCTGACCTCCGATGTTAGGGTCACAGATTTCCATGCTACCCAGAGAAGTCAGATAAAAAGCAATGCAGTTTGGAGTGGACAATTTAAGCAGCTCTCACCAGACTGTTTAATGAGTGTCCACTCACAACAAAAGTGGGGACAAAAAAACAAATGTTTCTATAGTGGCATAAATCATAGTCTACAGAACAGATTTCTTAGACTACATTTTTAAAACATTTGATGTAGAAAACCTGAGCAGGGTTGAGCCGGATAGGGAATGAGGGGTCATGAGGTCCTACTCTTAGTGGAAGAGCTGCTGACAATTGATGGCTGGTGCTGGGGTACTGAGAGTGAGACCACATGCTCCAGTACATAGTGCTCCATGCATGCACATGAGGGCAACACCAAGTGGACTCGGGTTTAAAAGTGAATGCAGGAAATCGGGAAGGAAAATGGAGGAGGAATTGAGGGGGCAGGGGTGGATTTGCTTAAAACACAATGTATGCATTATGAAATTCTCAAACAAAGAAAAGAATGAATGGAGTTAAAATAAATGAAATTAAAACCTAACAACAACAAAAAGGCAGTTTTCACAAAGCCCTCTTCAAGGGGAAACATTACATGTGTATCTGCTTTGAAAACACTGCCTGCTACCACAAGGAAGCATTTGGAGGTAAATGGAAAAGTAAGGAGACTGCAGAAGCTTAGACCACAGCAGTCTCTATTTGTGCCAGTCTCTTGTGCTCACCTAGTTTGGTTATTTTCCATTGATAACAAGCCATAGATGAAACAGGCTAAGCCAACAAGAGCCGCAATCAACAGCATTTCTGTGTAATACCCAAGAAACACAAAATAGATTCCGATTTTTTCTCCATAATAATCCCTGTGAAAGAGAGTCAAGATCAGAGGCTGGAAGAAAACTGTGGGTCAGGTGCACCGACTCCATTCGGGCAGGCAAAGTTTATAGTTGTAGAGCTTAAAAGCATTAGCCCATGGAAAAAGGAAGCCATGAGGCTAGAATTTAAATTTTAAATACCATATTGAGAACTCGTGAATTTTAAAGTTTCCATGTGTTTTAAGTAAGTCATTAAATATTAAACAAACATATTATAAATTATTAAACAAAGAAATGTAACCTGTAGCAACTGACAAGTTAGAGTGGCAGACACAATCTGCCTGAACGATCATTGTCTTGCTTCTTTCTCCAGTTGAAGTGGATGCTCTGATGGCAGGTGTGCCTTCGGCCCTCGCTTCGCAGAGTGTAGAAGCTTACAGTGTCGTTCGGACTACCTGCTTGTACTCACAGCCAGGTTTAGCTGAGTTCACCCTCAGAGACCTTCAAACAACCCTCCCTGCCTCAGAGAACTCGTCACCAGGTTCATGACCTTCCCACAGATGTGACTGCTCTGAGGGTCCCTGAATAGCTTGGAGAACTACAGATAGTGACCTGCGGTTTCTAAGTTTGCCCTGCGAGGGGACAACAGTGAGTGAGCAAGAGGGACATAAATGTCACCTCCCACAGAGACCATTTTCAGCAGATTTTAAATAGATTTCTCATGCCCCGCACTGATTCTTCAGCTTTTGAAACCTTTCTAATTAAATAGGTGTCTCTCTGTGTGTTGCATTTTCTTTTCAATGCTGATATATATTTTTGCAGTTTTGCTTTTAATTTTTTCCACATTGCTGTCTGTCACGTTCCCTAAACAATCTGCTATGGACACTTCCCCAAAGTAAATGTGAATGACCCTGCATCTCTTGGAAATTTTACTAAAGAATAAAGAAATTTCTATAATACTGCACAATGCCAAGATCACCAAAAGACACTAATATTCTTTTTCTTTCTTGTTGGGACCCAGCCCCCACGGGTTCTCTGTGAGTTGTTTTCCAGCATAACCACAGGTACCTCCTGTTTTCCTTGCCTTGCCTACTAGTATCAACATCCTGTTCTGAACATTATGCCCTGTCCCCATCCCCTTCTTGTTTCGTTGGCAGTGGGCGGGAGTTGTGGTTCCCTTGTTTATGATAGGGCGTGGGAGTGCATTATGCTAGCAGGTGGTGTTTTTCCATCTCCTCTTGTATATAAACTGCTGCTCCAATAAACCGATGACATTCCCTTCTACCAAATGACCAGGAGTTGTGTCCTTAATCCACAGACTCTCGCCTGGTCTGGTTCTTTGGTCACTGGCGCTGGCGCCGGTGACACTTTCTGTCTTTCCTTTTTGAGAATCTCACTCTTTAGCCTAGGCTAGCCTTGGATTCTCAGCCAAGCCCCTACTTCTGCCTCCCCCATGCTGGGATTGCAATGGATGCCTGTACTGTATTTAAGTACTAAATATTTATTTTTTAAACATAGTCTATTTGCTTTCCTTCCGCAGTATTAAAGCTCACAGAATCCATTTTAGGAAGTTCAGTGAGTATACCCGCCACAGGCACAAGAATTCTCAGGAATTCATGAGGAAACTGGATGTCTGAAAAACTAGATTTTTGTGTTTTTCCTTGCCTTTTTTCTTTTATTGGAAATAGATTTTTCCATTACTATATTTTGATTATGGTTCTCCTCCCCCAACTCCTTCAAGATCCTCCCCACCTCCCTACCCACCCAAATACACACCTTTTCTTTCTCTCATTTAGAACATAAACAGGTGCCTAAATAACAGTAAGATAAACACAAACCAGAATAAGAGAAAACAAACAGAAACCAAAAGACCCAAAGAAAAACACAAGAAGCACAGACACTGACACACACACATTCACACACACACACAGAAAACTCATACAAGATCTGAAACCATAAAATATAAACAAAAGACCTGTGCCATAAAAATAAATTAATAAAGATAAAACAATAAAAAATGCTGTCAAAACACTGTGAGACTAAAAATCCTCCCAAGATTCCATAGAGCTCATTTTGTGTTGGCTATTTTTTTCTTTGTGAGTAGTTATCAATTGGATATAACTTGTAAGTTTGAAATGGGAGCTTGTGCCTCCTCTCAAACCTTGGACCTTATCTGGGGCAGCCCTGTGCAGGCAGGCCCTCTGCAGGCTGCTGTCATCTCTGTGAATTCATAATGTGCATTGGTCTTGCTGTTTTTAGAAGGCTTTGTTTCCTTGGTGTCCTCCACCCCTTCTGGCTCTTAAAGTCTGTTTGCCTTCTCCACAGAGTTGAGGGGAGGGATTTGATGGAGACATCCCATTTGGAACTGAGTGTTTCAAGGTCTCTCACATTGTGCAGTTGCGAATTTCTCTATTTGTTCCATCTACTGCAGAAGGAAGCTTCTCTGGTGATGGCAGAGTAAGACACTGATCTATGAGTATAGCAGAATGCCATTAGGAATCGTTTTATTGCTTTGTTCCTTCAACAGAAAAGTAGTATTTAGTTTTCCCCCAGGCTTATGACCTATCTAGTCTCAGGCTCTTGGCCACTTAGACAATGTTGAACATAGGTTGCCTCTCAGTGAGTGGGCCTTTATTCAAAGCAGATCACTGTTGGTTACTCTGACAACTTTTGGGCCTAGTTTAAAATGACCACTTTTATCTCCCATTCAAATTTCAAGAATAATATCTCTTCATATTAAAAACATAAAAGGCCTGTAGGCTTATAATTATTATTAAAATTGTCTCAATGTAGGAGATTGCTGAGCCATTTCCTAAATAGGGTCATATAAGAAATGAAAATTTATTGTTTATAAAATGAGGAAGTATAGGAAGTGTTTTTTACTAAACTGTGGATTTGGTGAATATACTTAAAAGCACAGGCTAACAAACAAAACTTTGTGTATGTGTAATTTGCATACTAAGCGAGTATAGTAGGCTGCAGCCATGGCCCTCGTCTTATCTCCATCCTTTTGTTCATTTGTTTGTTTCTTGATAATCCCAGGCATGTACAATACGCATTCTGATTATTTTAATCCTCCCTTCTAATCTTCATCCCAACTTTACACTCCCTGTCCACAGTCACAGCTCCATTGTTGTTTTATGTGATTTTTATTCTCAATTTGAATTATGTGTGTGTATGTGTCTCTGTATACATGCACAGAGTGTAATGCTCACAGAGGCCAGAAGCAGGCATTGGATGCCCTCAACTGATGTCACCAGTGATTGTTCCCGGTATCCACTCAGGTGTGGGGGCTAAGACTGAATTTGTGTCCTCTGGAAGAGCAGCATATGCTCTCAGGTGCTGAGCCACACTTCCACTTTCAGTTGTTATTTTGGCACAGGACCACACCCAGACTGGCCCTGAGTCAGTCTGTACCTCAGGTAGGCCTTGGCTTGTGACCCCCTACCTTAGCCCCTTGAGTAACTAGGATTATAGACCTGAGCCACCAGGGCTGGTACCACTAAACTTTTTATTTTGATGGCATTGAAAGCAAAAGGCACATCATTTTACTATAGTAAAAATATAGATAATTAAAATACCATTTAAACATTAAGTATTATGACATTAACCTTTTCCTTATTTGTGACAAAAATCTAAAAATTCAAGAAATATTTAAAAGACTCAAATACATAAACATTCCTTTTTTCAAGTATTTTTATGAAACTGGCATGTATATTGTATTTCTTTTTTTTATTTGTATATGGTATTTCTTAAGATGCTCATTTTACATTCCAGACCACTAACTCATACCATCTATATACCCTCTATGGACAGAGAAGTTTCAGTAGTAATGTCTGTGGTGTGTATGAAGGGGTCTATTTATTATGTCCATGATGAAACAATATGAGAAATTATGGCAGAACTGATTGGAATAAAGCCTTGAGGAATCAATGAACAAAAGTCAATATTTGTTCTAAAATAACTCCTTTGCATGTAAGTGAACTGGCATCTGAGGATCAGATATCCCACTGCCATGGTGTTATGAACATACCATTAGAGTCATTGCTGATCCACTTATTCTAAGTTATTTAGTATGTAGAGGTGTCCAATTTTATCTCTAAGCATCAGGACAAGAACAACAGGCACATTACAGAGAAATTACATGAAGCTGTGACACTGGGAAGGAAGGAAAAAGTGCCAACAGAGCACATGCAACTGTAGATGAAGATACCTGTGACAGCAATGCTGGTATTAGCATTTTTCATGGAATATGAAAAAATTATCACTGCCAATTGCCAAAAGAAATTTAAAAATACTTGGACACGGTACAGAGTTCACGTGGGTTGTGTGTAATCTGCGAGAGGAGGAATATGTATCTGAATCCTCTCTATTTGGCCTATCTCCATACCCAGTCACCCACTAGTTCCCAGAAGTTCTGTCCTAAAGACAGCTTTCTAACTGTCTTAGTTAGGGTTTCTATTGCTGTGAAGAAACACCATGACCATGACAACTCTTCTAAAGGCAAGAATTTAATTAGGGCTTGATTATATTCGGAGGTATAGTCCATTATCATCATGGTGGGAGGTGTGGTGGCAAACAGGCAGACCTGGTGCTGGACAGGGAGCTGAGAGTTCTTCATCTTAGCAGGTAACAGAAAGAGAGAGACACTGAGCCTGTCTTGAGCATTTGAAATCTCTAAGCCCACTCCTAGTGATACACTTCCACCAACAAGGCCACACCTCCTCCAACAGGGCCACACCTCCTAATAGTGCCATTCCTTGTGTGCCTACTGGGGACATTTTCATTCAAACCAACACACTAACTCATGGCTGACTCTTTCCCCTGATACCAGTGTCTTGAAGATCCTCGGTGTTTGTGGGCCCATTTTTAACAGGCCTCTTTTGTCTTTGGCTTCCTTCTTGTTCCATCTCTGTGTTTTCTTTTCACAGCCAGAATCTTTCTCTATTTTAGTTCTCTCCTAAGAAAAGTGTCTTTCTTTTTATAATTTCAAGTCAAACAAACTGCAGTAATATAATGCATATGCAATAAAATGTTTTGTCTGAATATACATTTATATCATTTATATATTAGAATACATAATTTCATTTTAAAAAATTAAAATTTTGTCTTTACTTTATTCTTTAGAATTTCATACATGAACATAATGAAATATGATGAATGCAACCCCTGTCTTCTCCCTCTAGACTCCATATCCCTCCCATCATGCCTCACAAAAAACTTGATGTCTTTTTTTGTTTTTTTTAATAATTCATGAAGCCCAGTTACTGAGCATGTTTCAAATGTAGGCCTTTGTATAAGCACAACCTGAATCACACCCAGAACACCACCACCAGCTCAAAAAGGCCCTGCACTCATGCAACTGCATCTTTCCCCAGACACCCACTTCTAGGCAGCCTCTCTTCTGTCTCCAGGGCCTGTAGTTCTGCCCTTCCCAAAAGAATGGTTTTAATAGTAACACGAGTGTGTAGCTTTCTGGGTCTTCTCCTGTCCTTCAGCACAGTACTTGCAAGTTTCTCACCTGGTGCTAAGTGTGTTTCTGTATAAAAATGTCACTTATTTACACAATACCAGTTCTTAGATGTCTCATGGTTCCGAGTCTTTCCAGCCAAGTGGCTTTGAATAGTCAAATGATGTCTCTGTGGACAGGTGCTTCATTTTTCCTGGTTAAATACTTGTGGGTAGAATGGGTTGATCACTCAGAAAGAACACATTTAACTTCGTAAGAAGCTAACCAAGTGTTTGGCCATGCAGTCCCGCCAATGGTGTCTAGGATTTCCAATGGCTGCCAGCCTGGTGCTGTGATCTTTTTCTTGTGTGGCCTTTGATTTTGACCTCACTCATAGCAGCACAGTGTCCCCTCGATGGCATTGTTTCTATTTCCCTGTGGATGACTAGGCATAGGTTTCCTGGTGTGCTGCTGCCATCCATAATCATAATTCTATAGTGAAGCATTTGTTAGACCCTTTTGTCAGTTTCTATATTATCACATATGTCTTTCCTACTCTTTGAGAGAAATATATTTTATTGATATGTTTATTGTATACATTTTTCTTTTTTTCTTTTAATTATTATTTTTTATTTTAAAGACTTATATTTACATATCCATCCCCCTTCCCTCACCCTCCTGTATTGTATACATTTTCCATGCTGTACTATGTCTTTAAACAAACACTCCTTATAGTGTGTATTCTGTCTGACTTGAGAAATCCAGGCCCCATTCAGGACCTAGAAATTCTTCTCTTCTACACCCTTACATTTTTTGGTAGTTTTAACTCTGATATTTATTAATTTAAGTTTATACTTATATTTTTGCATAGGAAATGGTTCAGATACACATCTTGTACGTGTTCATCCACCTGGGCCAGTTTCATTTACTCTTGCAACTGCCTTTTCTCACAGGGACTTCTTAGTCACCTTTGCTGAAAAGCAAGTCATTGTTATATATGTGTCTATTTCTGAGCTCACTTTTTTATTATAGTTCTCATTTGGAAAAATTTCAAATACATGGAAAAGTTATAAGAAAAATTAAAAACATCTACATATATCTTTGATTTTATTATTCATTATGCATTGATTGTATGTATGTTTAAAAAATTGAGATTATAAAACCAAAATCTCTGAGATCAATATTCACAGGCCAGTTTCTCCTGTAATCTAAATTTTTTTAATTGGGAAATAAAATTTGTATACACATACAAACTAAAATGTAGATAAATCACATCACATATTCAAAGGAAAATAAAGCATCATGTCCATGTTAAAGACACAGCATTTCAGTACCACAAGTCCTGCTTGTACAAGGCAGAAATTAGGCTGATTGCATCCTAGCTAAATGCTATGTCCTGACCCTTAATAGCCATGCTACATCCTTCCTTTCATAGATGGAGGCAACAACTATCATATTCCAAAGTAACAATTAATACTGAAGAGAGGGGCTGGGGAATGTAGTGAGTAACAAAGGCAGTGAACACAGTCTCCATTAGAACTGTAAACCAAGATCACTCCATTGGCTTTTAATGGTCACAATGCTGAATGAACTTACCGAATCAAATCTAAAGGTTGTTCCTTGTAAAAGTAGGAAAACCGAGCCCAGTTCTGGCGAAGGATGTATCTCTCATTAATGTGAGTAGGAGATTTTGATGGCTTCCAATACTGGCCCTGCGCACAGTCAAGAACAGAGAGTATAAGAGGAGAAATTAAGGGACACAGATGATGGAGAGGGGGCTTCTCTGGATCGATGGCCAGTGGACAAAACTGACACCATCTTTTACTGATGGATTTCTAATTCATATTCCACCCACGTGAAATCATTTGCTAACATTATCTAAAAACACCACAGTCAGAGTGTATTAAGCTGGCCTAGTAAACAAAGTGACACACAAGCAGCTGTTCAACCCATTAGAAAATTATGTGAACATGAGAACTGCTAAGGGCAGTGTGAGTGAGTTTCCCGCTTCAAGTTAAACACAAGTGAAGATTTATGATAAACTGAGACATCTTATATCCTACCAAATCGAGCTTTTTGATGTTCTATAGGTAACTCCACTGACTTTCGAGAAGTGAAACTTACAGACAGTGTCCTTAGAGTGGTGTTTGGGGATGGTGTAAAACACCACTCTATAAGCACACAAGAGATAACCCAGCACTTTGAGATTTGCATTCAAAACAGGTATTAAAAATGGTGCCATCTAGCTGCTCCTATAGACAACTCAGAGCCATTCATTTCCAAAGAACAGATGAGGCTGAGCTGAAAGGCTGGATGTACAGGTTCAAAAACCCCAGTACTATGTATGGCAGGAGTTGGGTTTAAACAGGGCAATAGGTTAAAAGAATCAATGTCCTGCAGGTAAATAAATGAACAAAAATCCTCCAAGTCTTCAAAACCTTTGTAAAGAAACATTGGCAAAGAATGCCTGGCAGCATGTTCACTAATCTAACAGGACCTTTTTATACTAATCTAACAGGACCTTTTTATACTATCAGTATCTTGACTCTGAAGTCCCCACACCATTCTTCTCCAGAAGACTGTGGCTGTCTTAGGGGTGGGAGGGAGGCGTTATAGGAGGGCTGGTCAGTTTCTCCTCTTTTACATTAAAGGATCACACATGAGTTAAAAAGGGAAATGCTTATATGAAATTGCTGCCGCAACCTATGGGAAGCAGATCACAGTCTCCTTGTAGAATCAACTTAAACTCATATTTCACAGTGCTGATCAGTTGGTTGCAGTTAAATTCAGGTGGAAAAGTTTAAAAATCACTTCTAATGAGAGACAGAAAGAGTGTGGACTTGGATGGGAGGAGAGGTATGGAGGACCTTGGAGGATTTGGGTGAGGGGAAATCATATCAGAATATATTGTATGAAAAAATCTGTATTCAATAAAATAAAAATAGGAAAAATATCACTTCAGCAATGCAACCATAAGACAATCAGCACTCAGAATGGAGAAAAATGTCTCCCATTTGTTCCAATGTAAATGTGTTTCTTCTCCTTCCTGAGGGATGAATTTCTTGCAGGAAATACATCATATAAAAGTCTTTTACAGTTAGGACAAAGCAATTGAAACAGGGAAATGAGATCCAAGGGATAGTCTACCTGGTTGCTTACTGTGAAGCCACAGTGAAACTGAATGGGCTTCACCTTCCAAATGCAAACACCACCACCCCCATCCCAAAGCCTCAGGTTGCCAAGCTATTTTAAGGTTTGACTAACTGGCCTCAACATCTGGAACATTTACTCCTTTGTGGAACATATAAAGCTCCATATTTTTGTGCAATGAGTCATCAATTCCAAAGAAAAAGGTCTTTGGAATTTTGACTGTTAGTGAAAATACTTGATGTCTGGTATCTTCAGCACCCTCAGCTAGTCATCTGCTTATTTTCTAGGTAATCCCTGATCTCTGAACTTGGAGTCATGGTAGGTAGTGTAAAAATAATAGCCAACAAAACTGCTTTCCCTGTAATGGAAATCAGTTCTACATTTGATGGATAAATGTGAGTTCATTTACTACTTTTTTGTTATTGTTTTTGTTTTTTTGTTTTGTTTTGTTTTGTTTTTCGAGACAAGGTTTCTCTGTGGCTTAGGAGGCTGTCCTGGAACTAGCTCGTGTAGAGACCAGGCTGGTCTTGAACTCACAGAAATCCACGTGCCTCTGCCTCCCGAGTGCTGGGATGGGCAAGTACAAATGACCATTAAAAAGACTTTCCATTTGAAATGCCAGCATGAGAAGGTGTTGAGTGCACTTTAGCCTCACTAGTGAACTTCTCAGCCTAGGAATCTGGAATATTTCCCTCAGTGAAGGAGTACTAAGTAGTTCATAAAGAAATGGAAAGATACTGGACAATTGCTCCATCCCCCAGGAAGGTGAGCCCTGACTGTGGGAGAGGAAATGGGGTCTGCATTATGGAGGTCGCTGATACTCACATCATGGAGTGGGTAGGCAGATAAGTAAGTGCTCGAGTTTAGCAGTCTTTCAATCCCAATCTTTTTCTTCCCCTCTTCTACTCCAAAAGGGCATCGTGACAGAATATAGTAAACCTGCCAGTGGGTACCAGAGAGAAATCAGCACATGAATCCTTCCAGATAAGTATGCAGGGACCTCAGTACGTTAAATCTATGAGGTAAAAATGAGAGGCTAAGCACACTAAACCAAGAGACCTCAGTACCTGGCAGAACTTCATGCTTTTTTTTTTACACTTTGAAAATTGCAAAGTGGTTGTGTCTCTTCTACTATGTTCTAGTCACCTCTATCAGCTTTCTCTTTGGTGTTTCCTGTGATTGTTTTTTTTTTTTTTTTTTTTTTTTTTTTTTTTTTTTTTTTTTTGCAACCCTACTTATTCTTCTTTGCCCTTCAGCAGCTTGTCAAATGCTGAATTTTCAGCTTGCTGAATTTGGTCCTTCTGTCACTGTGTTAGTTACACTACCTAGCTTTCTTCTCTCACATTTCATCTCTCAAAGACTCTTTGCCTACACTGGATACTATCTATGGATTGTCATCATCTAATCTGGTCATCAAGCTAAAGGACACTTAATATTCGTCTTGCTTAGTTGAAAGACAGAGGGCTGAGTGTTCTCTTGTGGGGAGAGGAAAGGAAGGTTCAGGGACCCTCTATGCCAATGTTCCTGTTCACTGGGGCTCAGGGTAGCCTATGGTCAGGTTCCTGTGAGGATCAGAGAAGTGCCATCAGTTGGGTAGCATTAGTGTTAGGAAAAAAATGCATGGGGGACCTTGCTGGATTCCATGGCAGGCAAGAGTGACCGAGGTGGAGGGACAAACACGCCAGGCACACAGAGCTTGAGTGAGTAGGGAAGGGAAGGGGGGAGGAAAAAAGAGGTAAAGAGACACAGAGACAGAGAGAGGACAGAAGAGAAGAGGGAGACAGGAAAAGTCCTGTCTGCTCCAGGGGAACAGCAGGAAAGAAAGAGGAAAGAGAGCTAGAAAGAAAGCATAAGTGGGCAAAGGTCTGTCTTTTAAAGGGGTCCTTTGCACCTGTGTGCAGACTATGCAATCATGGGCTGACCAGGATACTGCCTGAGTACATTCTGCCAGGTGACAGGGGCAGGCCAGCATAATGCCTCCTTACAGTTAGCCATCAAGTGCTTTCTTCTGAAGGGTGGAATGGCTCTGGTAACCATTTGCAAGACAAACAAGCAATGTGGGATGAGTATGTTGGCCTTTGTTACTAAAGGTTTCAACAATGTGAGAAATGGGAGCGTGAGCATAGGCCCCAAAACACTGAACTTTCTCTGATGACAAAAAAGGAATTAATTCTCACCCTCTTCTTTTCTGAGGGCATTCTTGACTTGTCCTTTGGGATAAAAAGAAGTCTGAACAAAAGCCTAAGTTAGCCTCTTGTCACTGTTAGAGACTGTAGTGTTCAATAGTTTTGGCCCTATTTCTTTTTATAAATTTATTTAACCTTTATTTTATGTGCATTGGGGTGAAGGTATCAGATCCTCTAGAACTAGAGTTACAGTCAGTTGTAAGCTGCCACATGGGTGCTGGGAATTGAACCTGGGTCCTCTGGAAGAACAGTCAGTACTCTTAACCACTGAGCCATCTCTCCAGCCCCAGCCCTATTTCTTTTAAGTGTGGGAAACTGGCAATGGACAAACTCGGGGAGCATGTCAAGGACTGAAGAGTACCATGGTAACCGAGTGAGATGGTACTTGGGAGCCAAGGTGGTGGTGAGGACAGGTATCTCTAAGGTCAGCTGAGGGAGAACGTGTCTATAGCAAGCATATCCCAGGAGAAACACAGGAGGACTGGTTGCAGGGGCTTCCTTAGCTGCCCTTTCTTTTGCAAATTACAGAAATTGTGAAGGTCAATTCTGTGAACATTGATACAAAACTAGACAAACCTGTCAGAACAGCAAGAGTCCATAGCAATCATGTTTTGAGTACCTGATATGCAGTATCAAGAAAGACTGACAGGTCATCACAGCTTACACAGAAAGTACTTCCACAGTGGCATCTGCCTCAGACTGATGCCATTTGAATAAGTATAGCAAATAATGATTACTTTTTTCAAATATGTAGTTGTCTTGATTCTCGTTCTCATCTTTATTTCAGTCTGACTAGGCCATGGTTTACTATGTTTGCTCTGCTAATGCATGTGTATATGTTCCTGATGTGTATGCACATGTATATGTATACACACATACTTTGGAGAAGTCTTTTTTTAGGTTGACAAACTATGCTTTAGTTAAATGTAAAGCTGCACTGCAAAGCAGAAAGTTGGCTGTTTTCTGTAGTTGCTGCAAATTGGTGGACCATACATCTGAGAAGAAATAGAGCTTTTTTTCTTTTACCAATGCCAAAAGTTAACTCCAGGTAGAAAGTAATCTTCAGCATAGAAAATAAAACAGTGCGAGCTTCTGGCAGTCACCACTATATGTCTCACTATGTAACATGCTGGGACTGTTGGCTGAGCTCAGACTCTTGGCTGACTCCTAGTGCCTAGATCCTGGATCACTGTCTCTCAGCGGTAGCCTTGTAAAACACTTTTGCTGCGTCAAAGGCTGAAGAATGGAGGTCATGCTAGCAGTATGAAAACAAGCAGTCTTAGGCTTCTCAGTCTGAGCTGCAGGGAGAACAACCAGACTTCCAGAGGCATTGTTCCTGAGGTAACAAAAGGAATCCTTTTCCTGTTCATTCTATCCGTGGGTTAACTTACGTAGCTTGAGGCAGCTGTGCTGCCCTGCCAATCTGGGCTTTGTTGTTCTGTTTACGGAGAACCAAGGGAAATTCCCTAGTACAGTTCTAAAATACACTAGGATTTTCAGAATGCCATGTGAACGTGTGTTTCATTTTAAAGTCATCAACTGAGCCCCTAGCAAAACAGTAATCCTGCCCTTTGATGCTCTGAAGCCAGCCTCTCCTACAGTGCAGTCCTAGAGAACAGGGTCCAATCCTGGAAGACATTGCTGGCTGGTTAGAGGTCTCCCCATGGCCTGGCAGCTTATTTCATTAGCTTGGCAACATGGAGCTCCCTCCCTCCAACAAAGCTTCCTGCTCTCTGCCTAGCCTTATCTGGAGAACATCCCTGGGCCTGGAGGACTGACCTTATCTAAAAGTTGTCTCTAAACCAGATGAAGAATTGTCTTTAGCTCAGTACATACAAGCTTACAGTCTTCTGCTAAGAAGACTCCTGCTAGGGGCTCTGCTATAGGACCCTGCTGCCGCCTACCAAGCCTTTTGATAGGACTGAATCACTTAATGCAAATTAGGGTTTGTTCCCAGGCTACCCAATCTTATGTTTTCCTTATACTCTGGAATAAAGTTGAGCTGATTTCACTGAAATCTGTCTCCTGGAGGGCTGTCTCTATTCATGCTCATGGTCTGCCAAAGCTTTCTGTCACCTAATCTGCTTCTTTCCCTTCTGGACCTGGTGGCCAAAAGGCTGAGGGGGAAAGAGGACCCCCGAAGTTTGATATAAAGCTACTCCATGTACACTGAGAGTCTGCTAAGAGCACAGCTACCTTCACCAGTTCCCTGGCCCAGATCTTGAGAGCATCAAGCTGTAGCTCCTCCCCCAGCACCTGCAGCTTCCTCTGTATGGGTGTACAGGAGACAGCTTCTCCAGCAAGCATCTTCACAGGTTTCAAGCTCTTCGGTAGCAGCTTCCTCACACTGCTGTGGACTAAATCCACATTAGGTTTTGATGTAAGGGAATGTTGGCTTAAAGGTTTGATCTATCTGACCCCAAAATGTTCAGCTACAAGGCTGAAAGACTGTCTTATTGTATGTCTGTCAACCATAATATATTTTTAAATCCCTTCAAGAACCACTGCTTGGCGTCCAAAATTTGACTGTCTGGCACAAGTGGCCTCGCTGCTGGCCATCCTCAGCATTCCACATACCTTTCTTATTAAGCTTTCTCACTTCTGGCTTTTGATTCAAATTGAGGGACTTTGACTTGATCACACAGAGGCCACTGTGACATTGTATGCCTGGACCAATTTCCATGGTGTTTTGTCTCAGGGAAGAGGGATCCTAGGGAGTGCCAGAGAGATGGGGGAAATGCTAGTTAAGGGAAGAGTCAAAATATATCCAGTATTCTCTACCTCTCCATCTTGTGTGTGTGTGTGTGTGTGTGTGTGTGTGTGTGTGTGTGAGAGAGAGAGAGAGAGAGAGAGAGAGAGAGAGAGAGAGAGTGTTTGTGATTATTATTTTTGTGGATTTATTTTGAGATGGGTCTCTGCTCAGGCTTGGCTAGAGCTCACTGTGTAGCCCAGGCTGGTCCCAAACTCATGATAAACTTCCTGCTTCAGCCTTGGAAGGGCTGGAATCCCAGGCATGGACCCCCAGGCCTAGCAAGTCCACTATACCACACAGGTCTACTTGTGATGCTCATGAAAGATTCTAACAGTCATATAGAAACACAAAGATTCAAAAGAGTTATGTACAGTTGGGAAAATGCTGTCTGTAGTGTTTCTCAGGGCAGGGTTCCACCAATATTTGGAAAACATGCTGTCTGTAAAGCACTGCCAAGGGGCACATGCATGTAACTATAGCAATGGAATGTAACCACCATAAATGATAGGAAGCTGATGCTCTTCTTTTAGTGTTTTCTGAGAGCCATCTCTGTCCTTATGACCAAGTTACACAAAATTTCCTATTTGTTTCTCTTTCCAAGCAGATGCATTAATCAGGCATTTAATTTAAAACTCATGTTAACTACGTTAGCTTTGCCACCCAAATATGTGCCTAAATCCACAGCTTCATTCATGTCAAAAGTTCTGTCCTTTTTCTGCTACAATGATGTGCACACACTTACATGTCATGGGTAAATCTATAGATGACTATGGTGTTTGGAGAGGTGCTTTCAAGTATGAGCATCTATCTTAGTAAGATGCTCCAGAAATTTATTCATCATGTCCAGACACTGAGTACAATAATGGGTGGGACAGGAAGAAAGGAACTCTTTCAACATCAGCTTTCTAAACAGGGAGCATGGTGCTTCTACATGACAGAAGGAGGGACGCCCATGCTTATCACTTAGAAAACCCACTGGCAAGGTTCACAAGTGACAACATGAAATGAAGGATGAAGGGAAGGAATAGCAGCAACCTTTCTATGTTGAACAACCTCCTGGTCCATCCTTTTGGAAGGTAGGATGAAGCCTAAATCCAGTGTTCTGTATGCAATAGGCTGGCACTCTGCCAATGAGTAGCAACCCCAGTTCTTCCCACCAAATATTAAAGGAACAAGTTACTGAAGAGATTTCAATTATAGCACATGACAGTAGCAGGATCTCTGCTTCCAGAGAAGTGATCTTATTCAGAAAATGGCAGCGTTATGGCTATACAACAGGTCTCTGATACAATAACAGGACTTCTTTATTCCCTGAAAGACGATGGTATGACTTGTTGGTCTCTATCTTTTAATCCCAGTGGGAAAAGTGAAATTTTTTCTCAATTCATATTCAATTCATATTGTACCAAAACTCTAGAAGCAACAATTTTTGATATCTCTGTGAATTTAAATAAAAGTATTTGTTTAACAGAATCAGGAAGAAAGTTGAATGAGCCATGTTTTCTATTTGCAAAGGGAGAATGTGTAGTCTCAAGGGGGAACAGGTCTGTAGTGGTTGGGAATCAGATGGTGAAATTAAAACACACATACACACACATACACACACACACACACACACACACACACACACACACACACGATACAAAGTGTAAGACCAAAATGTGACCAGATTTTTTTTTCGTCTGAAGTCAGATGACTAATGATAATGGCAGCTAATCATCACTGAACACTTGTTGTGTGTTAAAAAAAAATAGCTTTCTACAGCTGAATTCAATTAATTCTCAGGATAACACAAGAAATGTATGTGGTCTCAACCTAGCACAAGGAAACAGCAGTATGTGCAGCTTTCAATCAGCAATTTACAAGACCCAGTACTATAGAAGGAGAAGAAATATTGCTGACAGGGCTGAAGATAATTTTAATAGGAGAGAAAAATATCTGAGGCTCCTTGAAGCCTATCCATATATAAAGAAATTAAAATATTCAAACTGAATTATAGTGATCAATATTCTCTGACTTTAAACTTGTAAAACCCAATTTCAAGATCATGAAATCAATTAACAATGATGATATAAAACCCAAACCTCTGGCTGTCAGTAAGAGGCTATTCTGGGGTTACATAATGCCTCTTCCACTATTGTAGTCAATCAGTTTCGTGCTCTTAAATAGTATTTGAGAAATAGCAAGTTAAAGGTGTACCTAAGAGGCTTTCAGCCCTGCACAGTGCTATCAGATGGTTATATTATGCCTAGGAAAACCCTGCATTCTTAGCCTGCTCAAGCACAAAGCTCAGTGTCTTATACACCATGCTCGGAAAGGGGTCCCCGAGGCCTTCACTACTTACAATTCTGTTTCTTGTTGAGGATGGAAAGAAAGTGGCCTCGTCTTCAATGAGGAAGAGCTCCTGACGGGGTCTGCTGAACTGGGCAGTGAAATACTCAGGGTGAGGGTACTTCACAGTGGCTGGGAGCTTCACTGGCCCGAGCATGTAACTCAGGGGTAGGTAATTTGGCCTTGGGATGTCGCTCAACTTAATAGGCATCTTGATTCCCAGCACTTCAGCATAAGTGAGTAGGACCTCCCATGGGGCATGGATCTTCACAAAAAAGGTTTTTCCATCTTCAGAGTTCTGTATAAGAATTAGACAGAGTGAAAGAAAGTTAAAGATTAAAGAAAGCAAATTTCATAAATTCTCAATGATGAAAATAAGTTTCAATTTAATTTTTAAGCAAAAGTTTTAGGAAATGAGATTCCTCTAAGACATTTATGTATGTGTACTATGGTGGTTTGAAGGAGAATGGCCTTCATAGGCTTAATATAAGTGCTTTGTCCCTAGTTAGTGGAACCATTTGGGAAGGATTAGGAAGTGTGGCATTCCTGGAGGAGGAGTCTCCCTGGGGAAAAGCTTTAAAGTCAAAAGCATGCCTCAGGTCCAGTGTAGGAGGTCCTCTCTGCCTCCTACTTGTGGATCAAGTTGTAATCTGTTAGCTGTTCCTGGTTCCACAATGTGCTTCTCAATCACATATTCTAACCATTTGAAATCATTGGCCCCCAGGAAACTTTCTTTTATAAGTTCCTTTGACAATGGTATCTTATCACAGTAAAAGAAAAGAAACCAAGACATGTACCAACATATATACATTATATATATATATATATATATATATATATATATATGTGTGTGTGTGTGTGGGGGTGTGTGTGTGTG